AAAGCTCTTGACACAGTTGAATTTCTCTAATAGTTTAAAGCAAAATCAAAATGTATATATTAGCACTTAATTAAGAAAACAGTATTAGTAATCCTACAACTACCTGTACGTCAACAAGTCTTTGTTTAGAGCATCTTTAAAAATGAAATTCTGTCAGTTATACATGTTTGGAGATTTCAACCTCATCCATTTCAACATATAAAACTAATAATGGTAAGCAGCGATAACCGAATAAAACACACATTTTTATTTTTAAACGCTAACTTTTTTGTTTTCTTATGCTGAAGCTTGTGAATACACAGTATGTAATCCTCTGTTTCAAATTGAAACGAAGGAATACTAATGCAACATCAAGCCAACAATAAATAGTCTGGAACAAGTTATTTTTGCTGAATTAAAGCAGTAATCTTGCATCACATTTGAACAAAAGTAATTATTTGAAAGTAATTGTGGCATGGGAAATAGTGTGACAACACAAATATTCCTCAAAATTAACAGTGTATGTACCTGTGATGGATGTAGTAATGTCAGGTTAAATATTTGTTGTCAGATGTTCGGAGTCCTTGGGTTTTTTCCTACGATACAGAGTAAACTATTTTGTCCCATATCACCCACTTTTCTTTTCATAGAAGACTTCAATAGCTTATAAAAGGTTATTATCAAAATTTAAGTAGAATCTATATTTCTTTGCTAAAGATTTGAGACTCTGGACACTACTAAATATAAGGTAACAGTCCGATGCAGCCCTTTCTTGTCATTTAAAAAAAATCAAATATCTCGAGAAGCAGAACCATAACCTATCAATATTTTTAGCTTATTTTGTTTCTTAACTAATGCTCCTAAAGTATGTATTTAATTACTAAACCAAAAGACAGATTTTCTTTATCTATATGGCAACTTTGTGTCATCAAGATGATGAGCTATATTGACAAATCAATTTCAAACATTGGCAAATAATGATGAACAATGTTCATATATAATTCTATTTAAAATACAAAAGTAGCAAATACCAAAACATTTATGTCTAAACTAAAAAAAAAACAATATCTCTTTGCAACATCAAATTAGAAAAAAAGATGCTAACATTAATAAGTTATGAAGTTGAATTGAAATAATATATAACTAAAAATAGAAATTTTAAAGCATATAAACACAATCAGTGTCAAATATTGTTGTGAAAAGATTCAGTCGGAGAGAAAACATAATTATCTTACCCCCATACAGTCAACCAAAGGATCAACGGTTTCAAAACAGCAACAGATTTACCAAAATTGTGTAATATTATTTATTATATAATACATCAAAGTGATACAATATTATGGTTGTTCCAATATTATTCTCCTAAGAGCATTGAAATTGCATTTAAAGGATGTAACAAATTGAGATTATTTCCATTCGTGCTACGTGTGCTAGTGGTGTTAAAGTTAAAAGAACGCAAACAAACGATAATCAGTTTGTTGTTTTTTCACCGTTCGTCATTTTACAATTTTTTTCTCTCTTTAAAATGATAAATTATGATATACCTTAGATTACCTCCGTTATTTCTAGTTGGCCTTTGTTACTGAGTCCTTAGTAACAACCTCATTTACTAAATTATAGTTGAGGTGTTTCCCACGGTTTTAGTTTGTTACACGGATTTGATTTTTGCTTAATCAAATTATGACTTTAACAAAGCGGTATACTTATATTACCTTTAATCATCACCACTGGATCGGAATCTCTGCTGGTTGACAGTAATGTCTCCAAGGATTCTACAATTCCAGTAGCTTAACAGCAATGAATACAAGTAGAATAGATAATATTATACCAGATGATACGTCGCCCAGGATAAAAAGATGTCGATCGGATGTTGTCAAGGACACAACAACACCGATTATATCAGGTGCCCTATGGATCATCTTTCTTTTTTTTAACAAATATTTTAATTCAAACATTGCCTGATTTATAATAGTCCGAGATTACTCTGATGTCCAACGGCTGTTTTGCCAGACAAGCTGGGGCCGTGGGACGTCAGAGCTCGTCCCATATAAAATAAAGGGTGGCAGGTAGATGGAACTTACATAAATGAAGAGATAAATAAAAAATTATCAAATTGATACCCGAATTATATAATTCTATGGCCGTTAGTCGGCACCAGAAGCGACGAAGCAGCGCATATATTTTGGACGGGCAAATGTCCACTTTTTGATATGGGACGAGCTCTGACGTCCCACGGCCCCAGCTTGTCTGGCAAAACAGCCGTTGGACGTCAGAGTAATCTCGGACTAGATTTATAAATACACAAGCCTTCCAGGTATGTTTAACAACATCATTTGACCAGGGAAAAAAATCAAGAGAGTTTAATCTCCAATAGTTTTACAGATTTAAATAACTAGGACAATTGTTTTTACCTAATAAGCATCATTTTGATACATAACCATTATCGTATATCCGTTTCACTGACTACACTGTGTTGATTTTACATTAACTATATCTTTGAATAATAAAAATGAGAGTTATAAATTGAATTGGAAATAATTGATGTAAATGTCAAAAAGTAGAAGTTACACTGTAATATACGTATGGATTATAAAAGGATAATTACACGTAGTAAGTACTAAAGTAGTATGAAGCATGATATCTGAGGTAATTAACTAATATACATAATATGCACAAACATAGATTCAAACATCGATTACAATAAAAATATTAGTCTTCTTTCTGTCAAAAATTACTAAATATTTTTTCACCAAGTTTACCCTAAGATACAATACGATTATTACATATGGAATTGAACACACCTTTAGTTATGGGGAGTAGAACTAAGTATATTTTCCTATATTTTTTTCGATAAAGTGTTCAACTTATGCTCTGTATATATACTTTATATCCGAGCGTAGCAAGAGTAGTTTTAATTCGTATTTCATGTGCAATTTCAGCAAAGCCTGTAAAGACTGCATTTTCAGTTTAATTTTATTGAATTGGCATTTATTACGTATTTTCCAAATAACCCATTTAAAATAAAGTATATTTGCGTTAACAATTGTATTATTAGAATTATCTGTACAGATTCCTAATAGAATAATTTTTTTCAACGAGTGCCTCGTTATCTATTAAGTTACAAAGTTATAAATTTCTGATAACTGTTTCTATCAATGGTTTAACATTGTTACATTGATAAAATAAATGCTCAGTAGTTTCAATATTATTATTTTCATCACATAAGTGACATTTTCCGTTTGACTTATGCATTATTTGCAGTCTGTTTTCAGTATATATTATCCTATGTATACATTTTCATTGACATTCTTTAACTTTTCTATTAATATCCATTTCATTGAGATTTAGCCAATTTGTTTCCCAATTTATAAACTCGCTATACAAATTTTCCCATTTTGTTTGACACTTAGTGGTCTCAGTTCTGTTTGTGTGTAATTGAAGATATTTTAATATCAAATCTTTGATTTTAACAACTTTATTATCTAGATTTATAAATTCGAAACTTTCAGAAATTTAGATTTTGTGGCTTTATAAAGTGCGTTGAACATCGTTATTTTTTAAAATCAGCAAGAGTATTTGTGGTATGGAACTTTTAATTCGTGAGTATTCCGAAATACATTTACATTAGCTGTTTGTTGTTGATATATTTCATTGCATGATATAAAATATTTGGTATTACCGTCCCATATATCACCAATAGTTTTTATTTGACTTTTTGAAAAAGAAGAATAGAATAAAGATTTGCCCTGAAATAAAATATTTGAGTTTCCAAATAATCGCTATTTCTTTACATTCAAAAACTTTGGGAGTTTAAGCTCATTTTATTTTTTCCCTGGTCAAGTGAGACTTTTAAACATACAGGGGTCCCTAGTATGTGTCCTGGGCTACTTAGGTATTTATATATCGGGAAATGTTTCAATAAAAAGTTTGAATACAGACGTAGATACTCTTTCTGAATGGATTAAGGCATTAAGGTTGTTGATATAAATAAGAATTAAGAAACTGAATGTGTCTATTAATACCTATGCTACATTAATCTTTAAAGACCCAAATGTTGCAAAACACTTGTCCAACCTCCATGACAAATATGGTGTTGTCCCCGCAGATAAAGCCCCAAACAATATTGTTTTTGTGTGTAAATCCCATTACATAAACTGCTTGATAAATGAATTAGGTATTGACAATTCGTTTGGAAACTCACCATATACCCCCACGACACTTACTAAAGAGGAAATCCTGGATAATGATAGGTTTGTTGTATGAACCTAAAATGAAGAACTGGATCTTCCATCACTGTATTTGATACCTAAACTACACAAGTGTCCTTACAAACAACGGTATATTGCTGGGTCTTCCAAGTGCTCCAAGAAACCTCTTTCTAAATTATTAACATCAACTTTATCAGCAATCAAAGCCGGGCTTCCAAATTATTGTGAAACTACCTGTTCTAGAGGTGGCGTGAATCAGATGTGGATACTGAAAAATCCCAAAGATCTTTTAGAGTACGTACAATCTAAGACTCTTTCATCTTGCTGCTTACCCTTCTGGAGTACATGAGATCAGCCCCAGTTTTTGGTGGAGTTCGAGTTGCTCAGTCTTTAGTTTTCTATGTTATGTTTTTTGTACTATTGTTTGTCTGTTGGTATTTTAATTTTTAGCCATGTCGTTATCATTTTCGACTTATGAGTTTGAATGTTCCTCTGGTATCTTTCGCCTCTCTTTTACATCTGTTAAGTGAGAAATATCCTTTGTGAGCCCTGTCAATTTTGACCACGATTGTAAAGCGCTTTTGTAATAATGACGTAGGGGTTTGATATAAAGAAATGTCAGAACATCTACACAGATAAAGTTTATCGGCAAATTTCTTATTATATTTTTTTAAACCAAAATTTACCTATTGAGTTCCAACCTGAGAATAGCTTGTGTAATATCGAGTATAACGGTTTGATATATTTACTTTTTATCCAACTATTCAAATTTACCATCCCCTTGCCCACCTTTTTAACATCTAAACAACAAACCTTACGGTCTACATGATTCACTTTACCATCCCAAATAAAATTCCATATTATCTCATTCAAATCTGTTTTGTATTTTTCTGGTATGCCTCTTATTTAAGAATTTCCTAACTCATAACCAGACACTGAAATGATTAAATGTTTAACAGTAAGGACTTTTCCAGAGTATGTCAATGTTCTACTCTTCCAGACGTGTACACAATTTTGTACCCTTTATAATATTGATTTCCATATTTTGTAATTGTCAATGGTATAGCCATGGGGAATACCTAGTGTTTTTATGTTATCTGTTGTCCAGTTTATTTTTTCAAAAGTAGGCCATTTGCGTTTATTTGCACAAATATTTATCCCCTTAGTCTTTTCGTAATTAATTTTTGAACCCGAGGCCTTTTCATATTTGTCATCTTAAAGGATGTAATGAAAATGACACATGTGTATTCTTCTGATTCCTCTCTGTACTAATAACACATAACCTATGTCCTGATAATAATACATCAGAATACCTAGTACAGCAAAAAGGGCAACCAGAAACTTTCAATTTATATGGAAATAATTTTGTGATTAATAATATGCATATCTCTTTATATATTTTGAATGAATTATACTTGTCTCAAGGGTAGATCTTTATTTTACTAACTTGACTAAATGGAATTAGTTTCTGAATGAAATCAATTATAAAATTATTTAAGATTTTTTGTAATTACTGTGCACTTGTATTTTGACCATCGGGACTCTTTATTTGTTGTCATTTAATGTTATTTTGTATTGCATGAATAGTCATCTTTTTGTAAATCACTGTTGTTGTTGTACAAGTACCTTTTCAAATATATAAGGAAATAGCTCTTTGTCGAAATCTTTAGTGTTGGAGTGAATTTGCTGTAACCGCCTATCTCAATTGAATGTGAATTTTATTCATATCAATTAAATATTAATTATATTTCTCTAACAGAAAATATTTACTTGTATATAAAAGACAATTAATGTTGGATAAACAGAAACACACGACGAACGTTTAAGAATTTTTAAGTCATATAGTGTTGGATCCTGATATATACATATTCCTGTTTGACCAGACAGTTACTACAGAAAACAAATCTAGAGCGCATGATTCTTACTGCTAACATAATACAAATCTTTTCTTTGGCTGATGAACAGAATTAAGTTTTTGTTCATTTCAAAAGTTCAGATTAGAGAGCATTACATGCAAATGGAGGATACGAGTAACATTTGTCAATCAAAGACCTTAGCTACTGAACGCCAAAAGTTTAAATTGTCAATAATAAGATTGTACTAGCACACACCCGTAACTGAATTAAGTACCCACGCCTTACTTTTAGCCTGGATTTTCAGTATTCGTATTGTCATCTGATAAAGTCATGTAGCTTATAAGCTGCATAGTTTTCTCAATCATCAAAATCTTTCTGTTTGAACCCGTCCTGGTTTTCTTAATTTCCATTACGTCCAACGTGTGGAGGTGTGCCTTTGCTAGATACAGATACAGAATACAACCGGAAACTACATGTACACAGAATACAACCGGAAGCTACAAATACTATTCGTATTTGTATCGGATTCGACCCGGAACTTGTTAATTATTGGTAATATCAATTATGTGGAAAACACAAGGGCCCGGAATGGTGTAATTTTTAATCAACACTATTGTCCCATATTAGTTATATAAAATTGAATTATATGATTCGTTGTTTTAACGTCATGCCGGCTAACAAATTGTACCTCGTTGTTTTAGTATTATAAATACTGTAAATTCAAAAATTAATTGGAGGTTTTTATTAATGCGAATAATGCGACTGAAAGAGTATCGCATTAATAAGAACTCGCAATCTCATATCTGATACTTATAACTGTATGTACATTTTTCTGAAATCGTAATAATTAATCTCGCATTTTAGTACTTTCTACAAAATTCGCAATAGTAAATGCACGCAATAATTTCTGAATTTACAGTAGTATAATGTCATATATTTGTAACTGATAAAAGAATAGCATACTTATGCATGTTGTATAAAATCAAATATAAAATAGTTCAAATAGATATTTAAGAGAAAAACAGTGTTGTTTAATAGTATTTACCTGCCATTTTGTTATACACTTATTGTTGACCGGGATACGTTGACGGGGATTACCCCAGCACATCTAGTTTCGTTTCTATTTAAAGGTATTTAGAAATCGATTTTTAAAAACAGATTTATCCTACCATGACTGTGTTTTATTCAATAGTAAGTTGTTATTATGTGTATTTATGTGTGTTACACAGAGATGGTATATTTGAATAACGTTTCCAACTAAAATATGTCGTAACTGTCTTTTCCGTAGCTTGGTTACATTATTATATTTTGGTTTAATATTCTTCATACTTGATACCAATGAAAAATCACTTACAGTTTTGAGTTAATATTATTTGTCCAACATATCTTCTCTTACTTAACCATATGATATTTATGATATTGTTTTTCGTAAGATTAAATGTATGATATGGTTTATCATCCAAATGAGTTATGGCCGATATAGTTAATATATACTGTCCAAGTCAGGAGCCTGCAATTCAGTGGTTGTCGATTGTTGCTGTATATCATATTTGTTTTTCGTTCTTTAATTTGTAAATAAATCAGGCCGTTAATTTTCTCGTTTAACTGTTTTACATTTGTCATTTTGGGGCTTTTTATAGCTGACTATGCGGTATGGGTTTTACTCATTGTATATCATAGTTGTTGATTTCTCTGTCATTTGGTCTCTTGTGGGGAGTAGTCTCATTGGCAATCGAACCACCTCTTGTTATTTTAATAAGGCAGCGTTTAAAAATCAATCAATTATTATAATTGCATTACACAGTATTAAGGAATACTTCAAAAGTTTGCTTTAAATTATAACGATGATGCGGTTATTAAAACCATTTTAGTTTTTTTTAAGATGTTGCACAAACATTAACAATACCATTATTTTGATTATACACAAGATGCAATAGAATACGAAGGTCCAAAAGTAAAACCAAACCCGTACACGGAATCAAAGCTATGCACGAGGCAGATACATTTATAAATTTAAATTGATTTCGAAATTTGATAAAAGCTGATTTGAATGAAACCAGTATAAGTTGTATCGGCTCTAAAAATTTTGAACTTTGAACTATTTTGGCCTTGACCATTCATTTTGTTACCCAAGGTGAAGTAACAGTATATGTGTATTGTTTTTTTTATTTAAACATGATAAAGTGATGGTGTACGAAGAATTTCAGCAGATTAAGTTAAGAAATATATTAGTTTACAAAGGTATTGATAACATTAACTTCATACATATAGATTCCACCACTGCACAAGTGTGCTACGATATTTCTCCACCAGGCTTGCCGAGCTTTTTAATTAATTGAAATTTAACTCTGGAGAGTGGAAAAATATCGTCGTGATGAAATCTGTTTCTCTGATGATTTTTATCCTTCCATTAAAGATTTGCAGAAAATTGTGTTCATTATATGTGACGTCATCAGGCATTGTCGCCTTTTTCATGACGTCACAATAGGAAAATTAAGACGAAATCAAGAAAATTTGACGTCATCATCAAATTTTTATCAATTATTTGCCGAGAACAGATATTTCACTAGGGAGAAGAAATATTTTCTCACACCAATCAAGAAATGTGAAAATAGCACAAAAATTTGAGAAAAACTGTTAAAGTCTATAAAAAGTCATATATGGAATGATTGTATAGTACTGACACCTAAAGGAATGTTTACTTGTTACTACTTTCATACTTATTATAGCAATTAAATTTATTTACAGTCGTATTAATAATTTTACATACTTTTTTTCACCAATTTAAATTAAAGAGCAGTTACAGAATTTCTTTGCACTTAAAAGGAAGAAATTTTTATTTCACCTAAATATTTCATTAGCTTTTATAAATGCATAAAAGTACAAAAAACACATCATTCAACCATGTTTATCTTAAAAGGACAAAATACAACACTATAATAGACACACATATTTGTTCAATCGAAGAATAAATGTGAGAATACACACGAAACAAGCAAAGAAACCCGATATAATTATACAACGACAGCAATTAGAAATGAAACTAAAAGGGGAATATAGCCATTTGTGCTTAATATCACAAAACTACAAAACAACATTTTTATAATACAACATATTCAATGTGTATGGTTCAAAAATAGAGTTAATATGCTTCTTTATAGAGTCGCCAGTCACACACAAATGATTACTGTAAGAGATGTCAATTATTTTTTTTATGATGTAGCAATATTTTAAGTACCATAGATCTACTCCAACCCAACAAATAGTTTCTCTCTTTTCATTCATTGTACTTAGAATAAAACTTATACTTATGAACACACACCTGGAATGCTGTAAACTGTATCACAAATAAACGACGCATGTCTATTTTTTCTCAAAGTTTGTATAAAATGACAATATCGTTTACTAGTATATATTATCAATGCTACTGAGTATACATGCAGAATATGTGATTTAGCAATCAATTATTAATGTTTTCGGGTCAAATGGGACTAACATTCATGATGTAGGAAAACTAATTTAACTATAACTGTGTAAGATAAAAAAATAGTGTTGAATTAAGAAAAAAATGTCCTTTAGTGAAATTACTTTTCTATTTATTCAAGCCTAATGTAAATCAAATAAAAAATAATAATTGAGGTTTAAAATACGATAATTATAAATAGATCGCTATGTGGTTTGCGAAAATATATTGCAAATGTCTGGAAGATGACTATTTCGATTTATTTTTTTGTTTTTACACAATTAGAGATGCGTACATTATTTTCAGACTACCGTCTTCAAAAACCGCATTTAGAGGGCCCAGTTGACATAGGCATACGGCGTTTTGGAGATAGAAAGGACTATTTAGTAACAACTTATTCATAAGTAAAAAATAGAGCAACTAAATATTAATATTTTTCTAAAAATCAATATACGTATTCAACGGACAGGCGATTGCAAAATCTGGATTTAGACACGAGCTATACGGCATTGATTGTTTTTCAGGGTTACTTCTGTCGGTCACACAATCGTGAAAAAATAGCATTCCATGATCTTTTGGTTGATTTACATACAGGATTAGATATGACAATAAA